TCGCGATTGTACGTTGATTAATCTCGCGACGGACGGTTTCCGCGAGAGTTCTCAGGCTTCCGAGCAGCTCCCCAGTTTATTACGTCGTCGATAAACACGAGAAGATGGACCGAATGAGACGTACCTTGCTTCATCGGCGATATATCGAGAGGCGTTTTTGGAAATTAATTAAAAATTAATATTCCCCGCTTGAGAAACGAAGACTTCTCGTCAATTTTTAATGCGAGGAGCTCGAAAAATTTGTCCTACAAACACTGTAACTATGAAGAGGATATTTTTCACCAGCAGTTTTCAACATGGGAAACATATTTTAATGATTCTCACCGACAATAATATTACATGCCGCGCGTTTAAGCAATATTTAATAATAATTTTCCAACAAATTGACGCTAATAAATTATGCGAAATAATTAGTATTTTCTGACAATCGATTGCCGCTCAGCGTGTGTGGAAATACACTGCCGCCGAAGCTCCCATTAAATTGTGCAATATTATCACGTCGTATAATACATGTTAAATGCTGTAAAATATGCCCGAGGTAGGAGCGTCGTGTCGATTAGATCACAGCGACGTAAACAAAACAACGAAGGTCGAGCGTCCTTGTCAGTCGAAGGTGAAGTGGTAAAGAGTCGCGCACAGAGCCGCGGCGAGCTCTCGAAATTCATAACAGTCCTTGGCGTGGCGGCAGACGCACGCATCGACACGTCGTTCTCTCGATTTCTCCAGCATGATCGGAGCCGAGTGTGATGGTTAGTATTGCCGTCCAAATTCTAACAAACTAATAATACACTGTGCGAATGACAAGATGATCAAACGCGCGAGTAATACTCGATAGATATCTGAAATGTTGCGAGTATACGAACATAACCTTTCAATCTTCCGCGACCACGTTTATTCGAGCAGGATATTTTGGTCTGTCTTTATATTCGATATCAATCTTTATATCTTTGTGCCTATCTTTCGAGTCAATATGTGTGACTGTCTAGTAAAACTTTACTTCACGATTTGCTGATCGTTTTGACAAGTACACTGTAAAATTTAATCACGACTGACCCTCGGGGGGGATTTTTTGAGGTTAACATTGGCGAGATCGCAACGTTCGAAGAAAGTTCACGCTTTCTTCGGTATTATCAAATCTGTTGTCTTTCAACGTTGTATTGTTTTACTTCGGGATTATAAAGAATCTGTTATCTTTCAATTGTCTCTTACCTTTAATCCGTTAACTTTCAACTTTCTTTCTATCAAATTCGAGAAAGCAGTCGAACTTGAATTTATTCGGAATTGTCATGAATTTAGAACGTTCTTGTTTTCTTTCGAACAGGGCTCGTGGCAACAAATGCTGCTACAGCGAATACAGTCCCGGAGGGGGTGCAGTTTCCACGGAGGACACCGCGTATCGGAGGATCCGATTCGGGCTGAGCAAAGTCGGCTCATAGGTAAGTTCGCAAAATCCTTGTACAATCTCTCTTTCTCTCTCTCTCTCTTCCGTTTAACCTTACGGTCGCAAGCGGTGCCGTTGGAATAACTGCGGAATTACATCAAAGAGCTAACGCGTTTACCACCATGTTTCGCGCGTATGTGTGGCAACGATAATCTTTTACTTTACGTTCACATGAATAAATGAAGTCTGTTTACACTTTCACACACAGATGATAAAAAAAAAGAGCTGAATTTTCTAGCTGGATGGCGGTGGCCAACGCGTTAGTCCACTCGTACGTGTGTGTAAACGTCGTTAATTCTTCAGATTTCGCTCACATATTACACGTCACGCTTATATTTCGCAAGTAGATACAAATTTGTTAAAATCAAATTTGCGCGAAAGCATTGCAGAGGTGCGCCTCTGCACCTGCTCACGGAGCAGTCGCACGGGACAAGCTCTCACGCCTATAGCAATTCTTTGCTCGCCTTTGCGATTGCGATTTAACGTCGATTTTGCGACATTGCTTTTCAATTTTACGCACAGATTACTTCGCGCGCGCGAGAAGTACTGCCATCGACATATACGTTCTTTTCCGTGAAAAGCTTTTTTTGCACCGCGACTCGTGAAAAAGATGAAAAAGAGAAAGAACGCGTTGAAATAGATTTTACCATTATGTTTTCACTATGATTTCAAATTTTCATGCTTGTTCCCTTTTTCATGTGGTATTTACATTTTTCTTTTTTTTTTTTTTCAGGTAAGACGCGAGCGTCTCGGCGAATTAAATCCGCGGATCGTGCCGCGAAAATCAAATCCACACGAAACGTAATACGGCCTGCGCAAAAACACGGCTGCACGGATTTGAAGCTTTCGCGAGGATATCGCAACGAGCTTTCGCGACACAATTTCACGCCATCCATGATTATTTCGTTCACCGCGTACTTTCGTCCGGGGCTAATGGAAATACTCTCGCATTCGGCGCGTTCGGTCTTCGCGATGTTGCCTTTTTTTTCAACCCGCAAGTTTATACGCTGTCGGATTTCGCCGAATTCCGCGTATCACGAATGTGCCCGGAAAGCGTACCGGGACGAGATTTATCGTACCGCGCGCGAAATGGATATGTTCGTCGAAAACGAATTCGTCGATTTCAATTTCATCATTCTTCGGACAAATTCGCGGATTTCGCGATGAGACGGTGTCTGTGAAATTAGCACGACGTTTTAAAAATGATTAAAAAGCAATGTTAGTTTTAGTAGCATTTTTTATAGTTCTACAGTTTCTGATAAAAATAAAAAAAAGGTTCCGTATTCTTAATATCAAAAGATCGATATTGAAAAAATGCTAATTTCACAGACAATGAGACACGGGACTTTCCGCCGATAGGCGGTCGTCACTCGCGCCGAAAACGTGAACGTTTAATGTCGTCGCGAAGTGAAGTGAAATGAAATGAAGTGCTGCAATCGCAACATGGGGTTAAGCGGAACATCGAGGACGAAGGCTGCGAATCTCCGGAACGACGCAGTAGGGGATACGACTGCGATCATCGATCAATCCCTATTGGACGTCGGATTTCGGCGTAGTGGTGAGTGTGAAATCTAGACGACCACAGAGCGTCATTATATTATCCGTAGTGCAAGCGTAGTTGCGAATCGCGATGATCTCCAACGAGAAAAATAGTAAGGGTGGTTTCTCACCCCACCATCAGGCAGGAAAATCTCGAGACCTTCGGTCAATCTTTAGATTTGGGAAAATTGCGACCTTATCTCGTCGAAATCACAAACAACTCAAAAATCAATCAACTCAAACAAAGCAAAAATTTGAGGGGGGTTGGTTAACGTTCGAAGTTTCGAAACTATGCGAAGCGAAGATGATGGCTCGATCCCGATTTCAATTATACGAAAGTTCCGAAGCAGACCCGCGAAAATGCACAATTTCTCAGACATCTCGCTCTAGACGTTTTGCCGGGAGCTGTTTGCGTCCAATTACGTCGCCCCTTCAAATAATACTTATCAAATAATAATCCTTAGGTAATACTCAGCAAATAATAATCATCAAATGATAATAATCATCGCGTCGTAAATTTTTGTTACGTAAACATCGATCCGTCTCGATAGTATGACACTCGCGAAAGTCAGGTGAATTGCACCTGAATCGGAATTTAAAATAGAAACACGCTCCTCCGATCATGTTCCGACGAATCGCGGATGCCGCGAGAACTATTCGATCGGTTTGTCCGAAATTGTACGTACACCGTTTTACGGAACTATCGAGAAATTCAACAGCTACCTCGCCTACATAATTACCGATACTTTCGAGGTAAATCGAGAATGTTTGCACAATGCCGCGAGCTGTCAATAATTCGCGCCGCGCCGCGCTGCGCGTCGCGAAAGAGCGAAGCGAGCGCTCTGGAACAGCGCAAAATGCTGAAAAACTTTTTTTCCCCGCCCGTCATATCAAGCGCGAAATGTCGATGGTTTTGTGAAACGCGAGAGAGAACCGGTGTAGCGCGCTCACCGATAACGGTGCGAGCGCGCCGGCAAACATTTAAGGATAACTCATTTAACAAGCCGCGATGAATTCGCAACGTTGAATATTACACAAGCCTAAAATATGCTCTGGGGGTGCCAGGTGGCGCGTACATCTAACAAGCTGGGATCCCGTAGACTCGACGAAGTCCGTCTCGTAGAAGCCGCCTACTCGAAATTTCAGAAACCCGAAGTGGTTCTCGGAGACGGCCACTTCCGAGAGCGTTCCCGGCTCCCTGAAAACGCCACCTCCAAAAGTATCCGCGACTCTCCGCCAGTGTGTCCCGCGATTTCGGAATTTTAACATGAAGGAAGACCGGGTCAAGTTGAGACCCGAGGGTCCACAACATTGGCCATGTGACCATGTACATTGTTAGAGGACTAGCAAAAAAGGAATTATAAAATATTCCTTTTAAAACACAGATAGTCGTTTAACACGTTGACTGCCACGATGGTCACCGGTAACCGGTGTTATCGCCACGTCTCATTGATTTACGTGACAAACGTAACCAACTGCGTGTAACAAATGAAACATGCGGCTGACGGAGAGAGCGAATGAAACCAGCCGAGCGAACGTATATACCTCGTGAATTTATTACTTTCACTGCAACAGTGAGTTCCAAAAGCTCCTAAGAATCCACGCGAGATATATAAATTGCAAATGCCACGAATAAAATAAGAAATGAGCCGTGGAGAGCCTCGGGGAATTAAATAAATACAGTTGATTCCCTGAGGGTTGATACATCGTTTCTTATTTTATCCGCGAAACTCTGATATCTTGCGTGGGATCTTAACGCTTCTTAGAATCTGCTAGAGTCTTGATAATCTGTTGAATATTTCGCTTTTACTCCGCAATGTTGCGCGATTGAAACTCGCGAATTGAGCGTTGATATGATCAGCGAGGATCCAGCGTGGCTCGTTAACGTGTTAAGGATGTGTAAGAGAAGAGTCGATAAAATCGAATTCGGTGAATCGCCGACTCGCGCATTCGCGCTGCTAATTCACGCGAGTTCGAGAAGAGAGAGAGAGAGAGAGAGAGAGTTAGAGTTATTTCTGACCTTTGCTGGTGAGACTGAAGCTACGGAGCCTGTAACTATCTTCGTCCTCGCCGTCCTCCCGCGGCGGCATCTGCGACGAGGTGTCGGGCACGTCCAGGAAGGCGTTGCTCTTCCTCTGATGCGCATGATGCATACTCTGCCCCCTGCGGCTCCCTCTTCTCCTGATGCCCGGACTGACGTCATTCTCGGTCAGTCTGGGCTCACTGCTGCAGTGGGCCGACTTCATGGTGCCTTCATGATGATGATGATGATGGGCGGCGGCTGAAACCGACACAAACACGCATACACACACGTGGACGGGGATTACCGTTTAACGTCACGTTCGATATCCGGCGAGCGGCTCTCGGCCGTCGTCTTCGGTAAATTACGATAACGATACGCCGCGTGTATATCGCGCACAATACGTGTGCATCTCGCACATACGGACCGGAAAGCCATGTATATTCATGGCGATAGACATGAATCCGCCGTGTGGACGCGTGAGTGAGCGCGTGTGGGTGACTCTTCACAACACGTCGGCCTTTGCACGGAATTAAATGACGCGTTAAATGTCCACAGAGCGCCGGAGCGATGTGTAATGAGTATCGAAGTTCGATTGCTAATGAGGGCTCGCTTCCCGCAAAAACGAGAATATCGGGGCAGAAGGCGCTATTTAATTCGCGGGCAATTTATAAAGCTACCCCGAGTTCTCTCTCGGTCTCGTTCTCTCGTTTCCTCTCTTCCTCGAACTCTCGATGAATTCGCGTGTAATCTCATTAGCCGTTCACGAGCACGTCCGAACTCGCGACACCCGTCCGCGACTTTGAAATCTTATTTACACAGATTTCGTTGGAAATAAGGAACGCGACGTATGTTTTATCGCACATAATGTCAATGATATTTGCGGAATATGCGGATTTGGACCTCGCTCCGAGGAGAGAGGATTTCATCTTCGCGCGCAGAGTGCATTTTCGATATATTCGCGACGCGAGAGACCGCGAGAGCGTGCGAATTTTATGATCGAAAGGACCCGGATGTTTAAACGGCTGAAAAGGCTGGTTAAAAAAAGAAAGAGAGGAACAACCGGCGGTCAATGGGACGGAATGAATGCGTCCTTTTTCCGACTGCGCGCGCCAATCGGGTTTTCCGACAAAACGCTCGAGAGCAAAGCAAAGGACGCAGCATTTTTCAAAGGTACTACATCTATTACATCTCGAAGCCGGCGCGTGGAGAGTACCGGGTGATATAGTACGGTTCTCGAGAGTCGCGGGGAACGAAATTAAAGAACGCGCGGAAGAAAGGGGTGGAGGACACAATAGCGCGCGCGAGATGTACGAAATGTTTGCTTCATTTGATCGCGAAATTCATCCGGGCGAGCGGATAATCCATCATACTGCCGGATATTCGAGAGAAATCCGAATCCGTCATCGTGCCGACGTTGTCGCGGTTCGATTCTTTCGGGTCAAAACTGATTTTACATACGGCCAGGAAGATAGTATATGTTTATAACAAATTATCAATGTAGTTGTACTATAATACATAATAACAGATTGTCAATATAGTTGGACTACAATATAGCAAATAGTTTTACATAGCAAAATAATACCGGCAAGGACAGCTGATCGGAAAAATTCACTCGCTGAAATTCCGCCGCGACACGCCCTTTGGCACAAAATCGCACTCAATAACACGCTATTACGCTAATATAAAAAACAATCTGAATGAAAATTTTAAATAATTTCTTCGCCGTCGTACATCGGTCGTTGTGCAAAATTATTTTTTTCCTCTTTCTCAAACATCGAAATGGTTTGTGGTACTCAATGAGGGATCGCGTTATTTATCCGCGTTATTCTATCGATCTGCTAATTAACGCCCGCTGATTTCTGCAACACCGAAATACGCGTACACACACACACACACACACACACACACACGCGTACATGTAAACGCACACCGAGTCTGTGCAACTGTTTATTCCTCGCGATCGAGGCGGATTCGCTGGCGCATCGCGTCTGCACGTATAAATAACGCGAATTACGAATCCAAATATTCCCGTTTTTCGTTAATACACATCGACGTGTTCCGCACGGCGCGAGGGAGTATTTATCAGACGTAACTGATTTCTAAACTCCGCGGCGCGGTGGCGGCAACGGCGGTACGCGGGACGTGTTTCGGGCTGTCAGTGACCTACTAGCCAAACCCACGGAGAACGAGAATAGCAGCCGCAATGATTTCAAGAACTCCCGCGAGATTAGAGCGCGCCTCGCCGCCCCCGGTGCAATATCGTAAGCCGCGGGAGTACACTTTGCTCTTTCTCGGCAGGATCGTACGTCACCGACGTTGACGTTTTCACGAGTTTATCGGGCTCCGTCGAAATTATGCCCGTGGCTAGTTCACGTAACCCCGCCGCGTAAAATAGAGACCCTTACGTTCCTGTAGATTTTATCTCTCCCCCGGCAATGTTCGTGTCTTAACCGTCGAAAAGAGCCGAGCACGCAAAACGATCGTTTGACAATCCCGGAGTGTTGAGTACGTGGATTCCCCTCGGGTACACGAGGAGGCTACGGATCCTCGTATTAAAACAACCCCCGAGTGAGAAATATGATTGAGCGAGCCGGTGAATTTTCTTTGAGCTTCTATGACGACTAAAAAATCTCGGAACGGTCTCGGAATCTCGTGCAGTAGTATTAATTATCGTTAACGACGGAAGCTAGGAATATGGCGAAGCGAGTAGCATTGAAGAATGTTTCGACGGAGGGTTGACGTAATTCTCTGCCTGCCGCCTAAACGACCAGTGAGAATCCAAGCGTAAAGGTGACTTGCACAAAACTTCAGATAAAATTGGTATCGACGATTGACCCCGGCAAAATTACCGGTAAAAAACAATCTTTAACTATGTAATTAGCCGGCTGACAATACTCAAACGATGTATTCCATGTGCGCGTCAGCAAAAGATAGAGCAGAGCTCATACTTGTGACCGATAATTTCAAGTACGCGTCATAAAAAGAGAACACGGGGATTTCTCACACTCGTTTCGACCACAAATCGTCTTTCACTTTGGCAGCTCCGGCTCCGGCTCCGGCTAATCGTCGATCAGTCTGATCAGGATCCGCTGAGAGTCATCCTCAGAGCTGTTTAATAGACGAATCGCCGAATCTCCGGACCGTCGAACCCCCCGCCGTCCGGTTTCGCGACGAAATTCTTAATTGACGGCGAGAGAGATTCCACGAGAGAGACGTCACTCGGGCGACTCTCTCTCTTAACGTCTCGTCGGCATTATTATCGTTACCTTGAGCGGCGGCACGACGACGGATGCTCTTATTTCCACCGGAGACACGAGCGCTCTGGGATCTCGTGGCCGGCCTTCGTCTTCTCGTGGGTGTGCTGCTATCCGGTGTTCCGCTGCCGCTGTCCCGTTCCCGCTCGCCCCGCTCCCTCTCGCGGGCTCCCGAGGGTGGCATAGCCTCCAACATTTGCTCCATGCTGGAAAATCCCGGGGCGCAAATCGATGCCGATCTGGTCTTCCGGCGAAGCGAGTCGTCCGCCATTCCTTCGGATATTACCGCGGCTGTTCTTCCTCACGGAACGCGATTCGAAGGCTCGCTACCCTACCGTGATGTGCGATTCTCGTCTCCCCTTCTGGTCTATCTAGCCCGGAAGAGAAAAGCCAAACCGATCGGGTGAGCTTTACTTTTGTCGCGGGTTACGAAGACGGACTTTCTCCCCTTGTTTCACTTATCGATCACAAACGCGATGTTCTCGTGTTATTCGACGTCTCTCTCTCTCTCTCTCTCTCTCTGTGTGTGTGTGTGATTTGTGTGTGTGTGTGTGTGTGTGTTGGTGCGTGTGTCACGACCACTGTTTCCGCCTCGTAGTCTGGTCTACGCACAGTCAGACGCGACCGTTTCTGCGATACGTTTTGTGCTCTCGCGAGACTTTCCTCGCCGAGTCCGTCTCCTTTTTCCTTCTCTTTTATGGCGCAAGGATCGTCACACACCGCACGTGATCTGCGGAATATGTCTCTCTGCGAACGCGGGATTCTTTCCCGCTTGTGAAACTCGATAGTCTTCGGAGCTGCAACGCGTGCTCGGGAAGAGTCTCGCGTATCTTGTCCTCCGAAGGATACACGTGAGGACGTCACTCACGTCGACGTATCCTGCCTCGCCCCGGAAGAAATCTCGCGCTCTTCCTCCTCGATTCTACAAATAAAATAGAAAGTTTGATCTCTCTCTTTCTCTACCTCCCTTGAGTCTGATACTTCTGCTCCCTTTTCCTTTCCCCCTTCTTTCGTGAGCACACAAATGGCCGTCGGAGTAATTACGGCCGCGACGAATTGTGCCTCCCCTAAAACGGCTGAGACCGACGACGCCTCTTTCTCTTTCTTCCCTTTTTATATTCTCTATTCCGGCAAATAGTTGTGAGACTCTCCGTCTCTCGTTCTTTGCCTCCGCCAGAAGTGAACTTGGGTGTTAATTTAACGTCGTCGAATAACGCTTCAATTATTCCGCGCGTCGCACGATCGTAACTCTGAAAGGTGCGAATGCGCAAATATCGCGTCATTTCTTTAAGCCAGATTCGAATATTCACTACCCGCGACACAAGTTATGACGTGATATTTCACAATTAACGGACTCGCGTTGTGATTTCCCTTCCGCCCCGAGATTATTCGGGGGGCATGTTTCTCGTAGTTAACTATTCACGGTCCCTCGATGTGTTCGAAGTTTAAGCGTGTTGAATTAAAATGACGAAAACAAGAATAGAAGTCTACTCGAATCTAAATAGGAAATACGCGAAGGTTTTGTTACTTAATATCGCGTCATTTATTATTCAATAAAACAGCCGGCAGCTTAACTCGCGAAAAGCCCGTCGTTTTCAATCGTCTTCAGCGCGAAATCCGGCAATAATGCTCTTAAAGGAAAATCCACTGCAAATATTATTAAAATTAAAAATCGTACGCGTCCCGAGGAATCTCGCGGCTGAAAGAAATGAACCTCGTTTCGTCCGAACGATTTCGTTCTCCGATAAAACGATACACACCATACAACGACACGAATTTACCTCGGAAAAATCAGAAGCGCTGGATAATTGTAACGTCGCTCACTCGCGGCCTTTCTCCCGCGGCTAAGCGCGCTCGTTTAACCCTTTCAACCCTGAGTATATTTTATTCATTATATTTTTCTAATATTATATATGACAATTGGAAATAATTTCTCATCGATTCTCCTCACGACTAAGGCAACGGTATTAGGAACAATTCATCTCAATTAATTCTTCAGCGGTAGATTCGGAATTTCTCCGGGACATCACTGCGTTTCCCACAGTAGCGAAAAGGTTGAGTGCGCGCGAACTCGGTCAATTATTTGATCGGAGTGAGACCGATTTCACGAAGTCGAAGCAATCGAAGTCGAACGCGCCTCGCCTACTGGCGCGCGCGCGATTAAGCGGGATAGAGATCGATGACAATGCCAAGTCGCTGTAGCTGGCAGCATCCGAAGTTTCTCGGCACAGCTCGGCGCAGTCAACGCGTGGGTTGTCGAAGCTGTCGAAGTTGGTGCGCGCTGAACGCGATACATCAGGACGAGCGATACCGGTTACGCGAAGACGTTTCACCAGCTATAATCGAATATCGACAAACGTAAACTCAGTCTGTGTAGCAATATAACTCCGTCTTACTGACGTACTCCCTCGCTTTCTCTTTCTCTCTCTTTCTCTTTCCCCTCTCTCCACTCGGTGCAGCCCACGACTGTCGCACATAACAATTTGCTGCGTATCACCGTGAGAAGACCCCGACAAAAATTACACGCGATCGATTCGCCGTTACTCCGCCGTCGCGATTCGCCCGCTCAGCTTCGACGGAAGAACTCACAACGCGCGTTTTTTTTTTTTTTTTGCCAACTGCGCCGATATAAATTATTACGGAGAGAAAAAGCAAAAATTCCACACGCAAAAGATAATTTCACGTATGCCATTATCGCGATGGCAACGACGACGACGACGACGGCGACCTCCGACGACGCACGACACGACGCAAGTCTCGCGAGCTCTCACACAACCACAAAGCACAAAATAAAACTGACAAAGAAACATCTTCAACGAGTACGTGCGTGTGATGTTGTAAAAGACTCTATTTAAAGTACTTCCCTCATGAGAGGTATTTCTCCTCTATGTGAAATAACGTATGCACGCAAGGACGCGTTTATCGTAGGCAGATTGCGGGATTAAGAGGATGAGCTGGAGCTTTGCCTCTTCTTACTGGGAAAAGGGGGAGAAAGAGAGACAGAAAGAGAGGGAGCGGCTTTTATGAGTCTCTTATCGATATTGTGCGTTAAGGCGATGATAGCTCGTGCTTCGTGCAGCGTATTAACGTAACCTGTAACGTTAATACCCTGCACGTAGTAACGCGGAAGCCGCAAAGCCGCGGTAAAATGCAACGTCGCGAAGACATGCTCGCTCACCTTCATAAAACTCCGATGAGAGATCTCATCGTCCTTATTTTATTGTTGCTTTAACCGTTTTATTACTATCGGCGTAAACGGCAGTACTACGCGGAGTCGACGTCACGAGAAAGTTAGCGCAAAAATCGGCTCGGTTATGCGCCACTTCGTTCGCCTCGCGCTTAAGTAAACGGCATAAATAATCCAACAGGGTTTCTCCTCGGCATAAATAGTGAGACGCAAACAACGTAAATAATTTAACTGGCTATTTTTCGTGCGATAGGACGGCCCATTTGTCTTTGCAGCCTGAAATATCCCCATAATCTGTAAGAATAGAACGAGATACCCGACGACGGGATTGTCATCCGTTTCGAAAGGGCGCGTAATTGCGTAACATGTTGAATAATTTTCCGATGTTTTATTTCACTCCATGGAGCAACGAGGGGATGTTTTATGTCGGCGAAGATAAGTGGATCATCCCGCGTATTGGATAACCAAATAGATCTTCGAGGAGGTTTTCATCATGTGACGAGTCTTCTTGATTACTCATGATAACTGTCTCATACCTCCCATTCGTTCTTCTCCTCTCTCTCTCTCTCTCTCTCTCTCTCTCTCTCTCTTTACTCAGCTATGTGTACATATTATTTGGCGGTAATCATTTTATATCCGTACGCGTAGCGCCATGAAACGTTAATTGGATCGCTCGACGCTTTCAGAGTCCGGCCCTATTCAGCCCTGTAATTTTCTTTAATTGTCGCATATTCGAGTCTAATTTGGACACGGCGGTCAGAGAATAAATCCCGCGCGCGAATTATGTCTCGGCGTGCCCAAAATATCGCTCTATAATTGGCGACCTGCTTTCTATTAACACTTCCGTGGCGGAGTTTAACTCCTTTCGTCTCAAGTATTTTTAGCCGTTTCTTTACTTCCAAATATCAAAGAGATCTCGTTTCTGCACAATGAATAAGCCATTTATTTTGGAGCTGATACCGGTTTCAGTCTCTCTGAGAACACATTCTGCTAGACACGAACGTGTCCGCGATATATCGCCCGCGCGAGAAACAAAATTTTCGGAAGTACATTTATACTTTTGAAACAAGTGACGTCATTTCTCTCGTGCTTTGCAAAAAGTCCGGTCAGTTTTCGGTTTTACCTTCGGCACAAGTTTCACCGTGGCAAAGGCAATCTCGTGATTAAATTACCGCGTCGATGGCTACTGTGATACTCGTTGCCGAGCAGTTGGTACATTCAGCGATATTTCATCCCTCGATAATTCTCGAAATTCGCACCACACAACCGAGATATTAGTCATCGCACGACTAATAACGCCAATTTTGCCCGACCAACTCACACGATATTCTTCAACTCACCACGGAAGGGTTAAGGGCACAAAGGGACAAAGTGACGAGACACCCTCACGCCCTTGGAGAATTTCAAAGTCGTAGCATCGGCTTTTCTCCCCCGCGCGCTCATCACTCCGCTCATCTCTTCCACCTCCTCGACGACTTATTTTTCCCGTCGACTAATTATAGAGCATAAATCTTCCAAAGGAGAAAGAGCGAGAGCGAGAGCGAAAGAGAGAGAGAGAGAGAGAGAGAGGGGGGGGAGGGAGAGATAAAGATAAGTATAAACATCTCTCTCCGATTCCACCCCCCTTCAGCCGTGTCCCTCTCCGCTTAACCGTCAGTCTCACTCCCGACAGAGCTCGTCCGCCGCGGCCGTAATTATTCCTCTTTTTTGATACTCCGCGACCCTTGACCTTTGAGACGAGACGATTCGCCAGATCGTCATCGGGGGATCTCGAAAGCTGTCTTGCCCCTTCGCGATCGCGCGTCCTCAGGACCCGCTGCTCCTGCGGAGCTGTGGATCCCTCGAGATCGATAGGCCGCGCGCGCTCAAACGGCGACGATCAATCCTTACCGCTTTAGGCCGTGGGGGCGACCGTGGGATCTCCCCTCATGTTCTACCAGCCCGTAAATCTCTTTGTCGCTTGCCCTCTCGGCGATCGGCAAACTCGGCGAACTCGAATCACATGTCTCGATCAGCTCGCACACGAGCGCGACTGTACGACACGATGCACGTCCGACGTTGTGCGGCACACTGAAGGCAATCCCGGCGTCGCGGCGGCCGCTGGCGTGAAGCGACGCTGCGACGCCAGGCGTCGGCGGCGTCAGCTTCTCGCACACCCTCGTCCTCGTCGTCGTCGCCGCCGTCGCCACCGCCGCCACCGCCACCGCCACCGCCACCGCCACCGCCACCGACGACGACGTCGTCGACGTCGACGGTGAGGATGTTGGCGCGCCTCCAAGTCAGCGCGCGCTCCCCGGCTTTTCAGCGATCCGCCGCGAACGCGAGCGCGAGAGGTACGCACGCTTCGCGCGAGGGGATCATCGGAAATTGTAAGCTTCGGACTCCGCCAGGGAAACCGTCCGCGAAACTGGCCGGTATCTTGATTACACTCGGCAACCCCGACGTCGATAACGAGGTCTACAGAGTCACTGTGTTTCCCCGGACTTTCGGACCTCGGGGACTTCGCGATGCAATCCGGCAATCTCGCGAAGTCGCGACGCGAATGAAGTCGCGATGGACGAGCGTATGTGGAGGAGAATATTGCAGCGAGAATTGCAAAAAATTGTTGTCATCCTGAGGTCATGCGGAAGAGTATGACCGACACATTTTTTATTATATATTACGTAATAATTTCTATTATATAATACTTATATTTGTCGGAAAAGATGATCATATTAAGTTTTTCGCTACATAAGAATGCAATTACCTTGTTGGTTCTCATGTGTTGATTATTTTCATAAGAATTTCTCCTATAATATCAAGATAAAATCTAGCTTTATAGAAAAGTTGCGAAAAGAAGTGTAATATTAATACGATTTTTACGCGCGCGTGCACGTGCGGGAGACGGACGAAGGTTCAATTTCCCGGGGGCAGGAAAATATTTTATCCTTACAATCTGGGCGATCCTCTGGGCGACTTTTACAGTCTTTGAGCTACGACTTTGCTGTATACATCAAACGGTAGACTGATGAAAAATATGAGACCCCAACCGTGCCACTATGGTGCCACTGTCCCCAGATTGCAAGAGTTAATTATCAACCCGAGAACACTACCACGCGCCGGAAAATGATGAAGTCGCGAGTGACGCGAGTTGCGACGGACTTTGCGAGAATTTCATCTCCGTCGAGTCGGCCGCATTGAATCCTTTACACGACTTTTCACTTTCCTCCGGCCGATGAAATGATCTCTCGTCGCCGTGAAACTTCTTCGGCGCCCCACAAATACATTTGAAATGATATTTGCACGCCATTTGCGTTTACAACCAAGCTCGCGCTACGATATGCTAGAGATACTCGCAGCGAGGCTTGAGCGCTTTCTAATGAACTCGAGAGAAATTACCGAGAGGGTGGAAACTGAGAAACATTGTTATCAAAGCCGCACGTCTGTGTGTACTGCGTGTCGCGCGCAATTCCCCGAAATTTAATAAAGCTATCGGCCCGGTAAATCACGGTTCTCGATCAGGATGCGTAACCTACCGTTACGCGTTACTTCGCTATCTTACCCGGAATCTATCTTATCTCGCGTTAGTTAAAATGATTATCTTATCGGGATTGTTCAGGGAGCCCTCGATGTCAGCATCGATCGACTCGCGACGCTCCGCTCAATTTTTCACTTACGCGAAATGTAACCTCGCGCGCTGCCGTGTACACAGAGAGAACGATTTAGTCGAATCTAACAAATGCTCATTTGGAATAGTCGAAACGAATTTTTTGATTGATCGAACAAAATTTTGCTTGAGGCAACAGAAACATTTCGTTGGAACTAAGCTGCAACAAAATATTTTTGTTGCGTCAAACGGAACTTCGTTCGATCAATCAAAAAATTTATTTGGACTATTCCAAATAAGCATTTGTTAAATTCAGCTAAATCGTTCTCTCTGTGTACGGAGCAGTGTCGAATTTATTAGTCGATTGAAATCTTGCTCAACTGTCATAATCAAAATTTACATGGAGTAAATCACGAGCGCACACAATGATCGTTTCAATCGACTGCATTGCTAGACCGATTAGCAATCCATTTTTTATATTTGAAAAGAAACACTCTCTGAATGCGCATGAGAGTGACAAAATGCAAATTTCAATAACGCGAGAGAGGACAAATTCTTAATTATCGATCGTTTTGCCAATTACGATCAGTCGACTGAGATTCTTTCACCGATCGATAGCCGACTCTGTCGAGGAAAGCTGCGATGATCTCATCGTCAGGACTTGCAACATCATCGTTCGCGGGGTAAGCCTAAGCTACGATGACGTCCGTGCTGAGCGGCAACCTGTTTAAATTCCAGCGATAGACGAGCGCATCGACGGGGAAGGGTGGCTCATGTCCGTTCGCGGGAAGGCTGTTGCGGCGTATTACAGTTTTAAAACGTTTCGGGAAAAGTCGTCATCCCGCTGGCACACTTTGCCGCACCTGGCTGCGGCCGCTGTATCTTGTCCGCGGAAATCTATCGGCCAGGCCGCGCGTGCAAACAAACCGTCCGCGTTGCAAATTAAGCCTGCGCGCGCGTGGCTCGCGGTGGTTGGCGGTTTATTTCACGCTCTCATCGCGCTTAATTATAAAAAGCCGCCACGCGTCACTGTTCCGAGACGTAATGAGTCAGCGTCCTCCGTGAGACGGAAACTTTGGCCGACTTCGTAACAATTTCGAAGCTCGCACGTTAGAATGTTGCGACACGTGTTAAGCACGAAGCAAGGAGATTGCTACTTTATTTTTCATCGATTCTCCCGAGCGAAAATGGCTCGTAGGTTATCTCTCTTGCGTCCTCTTTTCGCACCATTCAATCAAGCAAAATCGACGGCGTTGGGTGATGTTGATCGGTTGAGATTTTGCTAAAATAATAAAAATTCATATTAAGTAAATCGTGATTGCGTATAACGGACATTTCATCCCGTTAGATTGATCTGATTATATATTGATTAATTCTGTCAAACAATTTAATTATTAGTGATTACATAATTATTTATTAGTGATATTGTGATGATTCGGTTCAGTTTTGGCTATTGACACGCCGATTATTTTGGACAACTACGATTTTAACACATTAATGTCTGATTGAATGCAAGTTCCGTTGACAATTCGCGTTAACTGACGAATATTTTCAATGCGGAAAAAATACCTCGAACGAGGAAATAAAGAATTCCCGAAGATTTCGCGAGAGTTACGGGAGTGGCTTGACTCCTTACCTTATATTGTTTCGCGATGGCATAACGAGAAGATTCTCGGAAGATTTCCTCGGCGCGTGCAGATAAGAATAGAATTTCAAACTACGACGTCGATTATCGGTTGGTTCGTATCTTCCCAGGCGATGGGTTGAAGATTTCGAGCTTCGCGCGAATTCGCTTTCGTAATTTTTCGTCAGAATCGGCTGTGTTCCGACGATCCGGAAAAAAATGTGTGAGCCTACTACCGCTATCGCAGCGCTTCCTAGATTTTGTCTCAATAAATCCGCCGCGCATTTTTACGATCATCGGTCTCTCCGAACTCGCGCTCGGTATGCTGCGAGACGTCATGTTCGCTCAAATGATCGCACACAGTATTTTCTTTGATCAATTCTATCTTCTCCGCTGAATCTTGATAATCGGATAGAAATAACGGAAAATATCTCGGAGTAAATTGCAAGAGAACAGTTAACGAAAGCTAGAACGCAGGTGCGACCACGCGAACGCTCGGACCGACGAGTACAATTTCAGGAATACCGAGCGTTTCGGTTCACTTTGGATTAGCTTCAGCAGCGTGAATGTTTTCGCAAGTAGTTAGGAACTCGAATCTGTGAGAGCGACATGTAGCTTGATATAATTGTGATAAAATGTGCTATAATTACGTACGATTGTACGAATGGATGAGTGTGAAAATTTAAAAATGGATTTCGTGATAGAGAAATGGGTCGAAGTAATTCTGTTCGAAACGATTTATTCATTCCGCCTGATAACAACCATTATTCTTTTCTTTTGTTATCCATCGGTATATTGTACATTTACATATTTGCAACTGCCATAAAACTAGATTAGTCACGACGCCTTTGAGAGAGCCGTCAAAACTTTTGCACTCATCCAATATAGCAATAAACTTCACATGTGGGTCATATATAATAAATATGTATAATTATATATAATTATATATATATGATCATTGCAATCACGTAAGAGTTGCTGTACCTCTCACACTCCAAATGCAAATAATTAACTCGGCTTGTCGCCGAATTCGTTAAGACCATCATGTTGCTATCCGCAATAATCGATTTCCGACTCACCGCGAGCAGAATACTCGAATGCCAACACCAATCCGAGACGTCGGGCGTCCTCAAACCGCGTCCTTTGTCAACGACACTGACAGTCGTCGGCACTGATCAAACACCGTGGGAGAGAGACGGCACGTCGCGAAAACGTGGGAAAACATCGGTAAAAGTGCGATCGCTCGGACGTGAAATACGAAGGCGTTCCGCGCTGCCGTCCCGCGATTTCTTTCTAATAATCTATAAAACTCGTCCGTAATGCGGAACGCGCATTAGTTATCTCTCCTTCTCTTTTTCTCTCTGCTCCGTCTCACCCCGTGCCGCTCCGTTCCGCCCGACGTTAGACTAAACGGCGCACGGTATATTTTTGACTTGTGGCGGTTTAAAGCTATTTCAAGACGAGAAGCATCAACCTTCCGCGCGCGGCCCCGGTTCCTTGCTCTCTCACCTTCCCCGCGGCTCCTCTCCACCGCGGTTTTCTCCTTTTCCGTCGCGGGAAACGCTTTTTCCCGCAGCGACGATGATTCTCGATGCTGCTGACTATATCCGCGCTTTGCGCGAATAATTCCGCACGGAAATAAACTTCGAAGCGCGGAAGGAAGAAAGGCGGGAAGAAAGGAACACGAGCTTACGGTTCAGCTCGCGGATCAGCCGCGAGTGACCCGCGGGAATATAAATAAGATTCGTGGGAAGAAGTTCGCGCTAACCGCGCGGGAAGACGCGTGGCGAGGGTGCATGTGCACACAAAGGTCCCACAGATTTCTGTACGCTGACTCTCGGCTGTTGACTCGCTGAACGATGGGACGCTACATCGTTCGGCATGCTGCATTCGTCTTGCATATTTATTCGCCATAATGCGAACATTTCAACGAGCTCCGAA